TAAACCCTAAACCCTAAGTGCTTGGGGGAAGATGCGTCTTGCGCCGACTGAAGCTGTCGCAGGACCCGCCTCGGAGACCCAAAGCTACGGCGGCAGCGGAGAAGGGAAGCCTGCAGAATCTTGCAGGCGGTTCGGTTTAGGGTTTAGGGTCTGGCGGCTAAGCAAGGTTTCATTGCAATTGGGGGGCCTCGTGGAATGGTCGAGCGCCCAGAAGTAGTCTGAATTTCTGGGAGGTCTTTGGCAAATCGGGCTGACTCGGGGACCTGGTGTTGAGGTGTTCGGGCCTTGTTGCATTCTTCTTGAGCTTCCTTGTCGCCGCTGTGATGCTCATGCTACACGGCATCCCTGCCTCGTCTTTACGACAAGTTTTTGATCTTCCCCCAAACCCTAAACCCTAAATNNCTTCTTCATCATCATGATCATCATCACACCGCTTGCCGCTGTCTTTCGCAGGCTCTTCGAGCAGCGTGACGGCCTCTGCACAAGGACAGGACAGAGTCAGGGTTTCGGGTTTAGGGTTTAGGGTTTAGGGAGCTGTGTCGTGACTGCCATACCGTCAATGCACGCTGGAGCTGGCTTTGGCATGCTTTGGTTCCCAGTTTTTCTTGTCTCCGTAGTCAGGATCTAAACCCTAAACCCTAAACCCTAAAATGGATGCAACAGGCTGTGCCGAAGGTGACGGCGCCGAAGCACTGTGCTGGGAGAACTTTGCAGCTTGGCCCTAAACCCTAAACCCTCTTTCTTTTGCTATTTCCAGGCACCGCGGGCTCCCCAGGTTTCCATATTTAGGGGTTTAGGGGTTTAGGGTTTAGGGTAACTTGGAAGTTCGGGCTTCAGCGTCAGCAGCCTTTGCATTTGTGAGGGTCTTACCCGAAGGCAGGTTGACACATCAAAACTTTCCCAGCCGCAGCCGGACAGCTTTGAAGTGAGGGGTGTCTTTCCCTGTTTGTAGTCTTGTCCCCAAACGAGGCTCCATCCAGTGGCATGCCAGTCAGACGGTTCAGACCACGACAGCCAACCCCCCTGCCTCTCTCATCTCATGGTTGCCCAACCGACGAGATGTGATCAAGGGATCTTTGTGAGACCCTTCGCTCCAGTAGGATAGTGGGAGCGGGTTGAGGACATGTTGCGGGTTGCCGGCACCGAGAGCTTTGCACTGGTGGATGAACTCATAGGCGTCGAATGCCGGCTTGCTTCTACGCGGAATCAGCTATTTCCTGAATGTGGTGCTTCTGTTCCGGAAGTCAGAGCCCTGTAGTGACTTTTGGTGCTTCCCTTAAATCCTAAACCCCAACTGGTCAAATATCCGATGCCTGCATACGTCGAAAACTCCACCTCGCAACAGTCCTTTCTGAACCCTAATTCCCAACCCCCAGATCCAAAACCCCAAGCCCCAAGCCGTAGGCGTAACCCGCAAAGCCTTAAGCCCTAGACAGCAAACTCCTTCATGCTTGAACCCTCAACAATAAACCCTAAACCCTTAAAAGCAAAAGAACCCTCAACCCTAAACCCAAAACCCCTTCAAAGCAAAGGAACCCTAAACCCTAAACCCTTGAAAAGGGCCCGCAAAAAAAAACCCTTGAAAACAAAAGAACCCTAAAGCCTAAACCCCAAACCCTCAAAAGCAAAAGAACCCTAAATTCTTAAAAACAAACGAACCCTAAACCCTCAACCCCAAAGTCCTTAAAGACAAAAGAACCCTAAACCCTAAACCCTCAAAAACGAAAGAACCCTCAACCCTAAACCCCAAGTCCTTAAAGAAACAAAAGAATCCTCAACCCTATCCCCCCAAATCCTTAAAAACAAAAATACCTAAACCCTGGATTCCATGCGTGCCGAGGTCTTCTGGGCCAGACCCCCGGCCGGCGCCGGCGCCGAACCTGTGCTTTGCAACAGGGCGGCCCTGGATTCATCCCTGGTGGGTTCCTTAAACGGGGGTCGTTACGGGTTCCTTTAAAAGCGATCCCTGGGTTCCCTTACAAGGGGATCATCGTTTAGGGTTTGGGGTTGAGGGTTCAGAGTTTCGGGTTTAGGGTTTAGGGGGGAGCACCCTACCCAGAGAGCCCAATACCCCTTAAGTAAGGAATATAGCTTAAATCATCATATTCAGGCCCCTGTAATTTAAGGTCTATTCCTTGTTTAAGGGGTATTGGGTTTTCTGGGGTCCACAAGGGTCCCTTAAAAAGGGGCCCAGGGTTGGTAAGGATCTAGAAGGGTTCTTTTAAAAGGGGGGTAAGGGTGTCGATAAGGGTTCCCTTTAAACCGGGTCTACAGTGAGTCTACAGGGGTTCCTTTCAAAGGGGCTTATACAGGTTTCTGGGAGACAGAAGGGTTTCACATACTTGGAGGATCATGGGACTAAGTAACTAGGGTTATAAATAAGGTAACTATAATTATAACCCTAATTAGGGTACTTATAACCTTACTTACTAAGTCCCATGATCCTCCAAGTAGGGGCCTTAAGAAGTAGAGTGGGTGCTCCTTGCAGGTTTCCTTGTAAGGAGTAAAGGGGCTTATGAGCGGGAAAGGGCTTTGGGGGTTATGTTATGGCACACTTCAAATACCGATCATCTAGAATCTAGAGATGTTATTGAAGTTTTCGGAACGTCAGTGAAACCGAGTTTGTGGGCTTGGAGTTCTTTCTCGTGGCACTCTTGCGAGCTTGGATCTCAGGCATCGTGCACTGCAACGAAGACCCCCTGAAGCAGCTTGGCCGGATGGCAGGTCGGGGGAAACCCTAAACCTTAAATCAGAAACGCCCAGAGCCCTTAACCCTAAAGCCCCGAAGCTCTAAATCCCAAAACCCTGAAGCCGTAAGCCCCAAAAAGCCTGTGAGCGGGAGGAATCAGGTGCCTCCTTTCCCGTCGGCTCTCACAAGCTTGCAAACATGCAGGCCCCGCAGAAAGACACAGAGAGTTTGGGTAGGTTGGGGTTCGTAGATCCCTTTCCCCTTATATCCCACCCTTGTGGCACCGCCGTAGTAACCCTCATAGTGTCCCTTATACCAACCCGCTTATAGTGGCCTTTGTAGTCCTCAAGGAGTACAGCCCTGACAGCTAGCAGCAGATGCGCTTCCTGGCTCCGAGGGACCTCTTCGCGTGCGCGCGGAACTGGGCGAACTCCTTCTTCGGGAAGGCCTGGCCGGTGCTCAGGGTTTAGAGGCGTACGTCGTCTTGTTATTTTTTGGGGCTTCAGGAAAACTCAAAGCCTAAACCCGAAACCCTAAACCCTAAACCCTAAACCCCAATCCCTAATCCCTAATCCCTAAACCTTAAACCCTAAACCCCAATCCCTAAGTATAGGGTTTCTAGGTATCTCAGAGGCTTTCGGGTCTTTTGGGGCGAGGAGGCGGTGTCTCACCACGACATGGTCCATGAGCGCTGGGGTGGACTCCGTGAGGCGACCGCTGGGTGTGGGTTTTTGGGTTTAGGGTTTTGGGTTTTTGGTTTAGGGTTTAGGAGTTTTGGGTTTAGGGGTTTAGGGGTTTAGGGTTTAGGGGTTTAGGGGTTTAGGGGTTTAGGGTTTTGGGTTTTGGGGTTTAGGGTTTAGTAGTACTATGGGTGTTATTGTTACTCTTAGTGTTAGTATCATTATTTTTCATTGCCAGTGTTATAAGTTATGAGTATAAATAGAGTTATCATCATCTTTATCATGATTATCATTCTTGCTAGTATGTCTCTGATTGTTACTAGTACTATTATTGTTTCTAGTATTACTATTTCTATCAGCATTACTATTATTAGTAATATTGTTGTTGACATTCGTATAATTCCTATTATGATTATTGTTGTGCTTATTTTTGCTATTGCTATTGCTGTTGTTATTTCTGTTTCTACTGCTATTATGATTATTATTATTAGTACTGTGAAATTACAGTTGCTATTTTGATTGCTAGTATTAGTGTTAGTACTAGTACTAGTACTAGTGTTAGTATTAGTATTAGTATCAGTATTTGTACTAGTATTGGTATTGTCATTATTTACCTTGTTGTTTATCACCATTAGTATAAACAAAGGCAACAATAATCATAATCATAGGGTTAGTATAAATGAAAGCAGTTTTTTATATGTAGCATTTGTACTAAGTCCCATGATCCTCCAAGTAGGGGCCTTTTCAGACTCTGGCTCTTGCATGCCACTTTCCAGGCAATCGAGCAGGCTTGCCCCTACACGAGCACGTGACTTGGCTAAAGAATGTGCTGCTGTGGTTCTCTGGCAGATCCATGGATCGCAGCACCCAGAGAGCCCAATACCCCTTAAACAAGGAATATGCCTTAAATTATAGGGGCTTCAATATAATGATTTAAGGTATATTACTTCATTAGGGGGATATTGGGCTCTCTGGGCAGGTGGTCAGGCATCTTCATCTACGAAGTTGTCGTGGATGGCTTTGTCGGGCTTGGCATCGGCCGGACGTTGGACCGGCTTTAGACCCATCCAGGTTGAGTTATCTAGGGAACTGGACGTTCTGCGTGTTCTGCTTGGGGATTCTGCCCCGGGATTCGAGATGCTGATCCGCTCCTGCCTGCAGGAAACCCGCACGCGAGCAGCTTTGGTGGCCTTGAGTGTCGCGGCCCGCCGCAGCGGCAAGGACGGAACGCAGAGTAGGGTGTTGGATGAATGGGCTGCGCCATGCCGTGATTTTGGGCTTTTATCTGGTTTGCAAGCGGCTTCAAGGTGTTGTGGCTGTGTGGCTCGTGCGCTTGGGCCATGACTTGGGGTTAATCCATGAGTTCAATCAGGGCGTGAGCACAACGAGGAGAGCTGAAGCAAACCGCCAGAAGCCTTGGGCAATTTGCTGTGCCTCTTTGTTGCGGATCCGTGGCAGGATTGTGGGCAGCATGCCGACCTCGACGACCTCGACCAGCTCGTGCAGATTGCCAACGGCAAGCGGCGCCTTGGACGTGGATCCCAGGTGTTAGCGAAAAAGGGCCACCCTAAACCCTCAACCCTAAACCCTAAACCCTAAGAGATGATAGAAAAACATAAACCCTAAACCCTAAACCCTAGATTCCGGTGCCACCGAAGCTTCAGGTGCCTGGACCTGCCTGGGCCTGGGGCCAAGCGCAAAGCCGAGGAGGCGAGAGATCCGAACGGACTGCGAATTTCAGATTTTCTTTCGGCTGCTTTCAGGGGCCGTTTGGGGTTTAGGCTGCCGCAGTTTGGGGTTTCGTCTGAGATGCCAGGAGCCCAACGCGAAGTTGATCTCCTACCTGCAGAAGATCAGAGAGCTGGATTCGCAGGCCTCTGTTCTCAGTGGTGAGTTTAGAAGTGACTCTCATAATTCATAATTCAAAGACTGAGCCCCGAATCTCTCAACCTTAAGGCTTGATGAGGCAAGGTCCAGCAGTTGAGGAATGCTTTTGCATTCTGAGTTTGGGATTCATTCGTCCAACTGACGTCCGAGCGCCGAGACCAGTGCAAAGAAACTTCTTGGAAACTCCTTAAAGCCCTAAACCCTAATCCCTAAGCCCTAACCCTGAACCCTAAACCCTAAGCCCTAAACCCTAAACCCGACACCCTAATGCCAGGAGCTGGGAGCTCTGAAGCAGCTGCTTTCTGACAAGAGCAGCAGCGAGACCTCAGCAGAGGAGGCCCGAACACAAGAGTCCATCGATCCGACGATCCATCTCGGGGTTTACGGGGTTTAGGGTTTTTAGGGTTTAGGGTTTAGGTATCCAGCGATCCCTCCATCCATGTCTCCATTTCTCCATCTCTCCATCTATTCATGCACTTATCTATGGATGCACCTTTCTGTCTACATGCTTGATAAAGGCCAGTAATTACGATAACTGAGCAAGAGAATAATAACAACAATAAAAATAAAAATAATAATAATAATAATAATAATAATAATAAGAATAATAATAATCATAACAGTAGCCCCGAAGCCACGGCTCCAAGGCTCCGAAGGCCAGTGCCATTTCCCAGGCCGGGCCTCTGGAGTCAGGATTTCCGGCTTGAGAAATGGGGTTTAGGGTTTAGGGTTTAGGGTTTTAGGGTTTAGGGTTTAGGGTTTAGGGTTTAGGGTTTAGGGTAGGGTTTAGGGTTTAGGGTTTAGGGGACCCTAGTATAGTACCCTAAATAGTAGGATCCTTATTATAAGGACCCTCAAAATAAGGTACCCCTAATTTTCGGAAACTCCCATATAGGGTCTGGGGTTTAGGGTTCGGGGTGTTTGGGGTTTAGGGTTCGGGGTGTAGGATTTATAGGATTCAGGATTTTGGGATTTTAGTGTCTGTTTGGGCCTTGAATTACTTGAATGTGGCTCCTTCTAAGCGTTCGTTTCAGGGTTGCGATGACGGGGTTACTGCCAGAGTTGTATGATAGAGGGGCGTCAGCGATTGGAGTAGGATTCCTTTAAGGGACTCCACGCGGGTCTTAAGAAAAAAAGGGTGTTTATATGTTTTTTTTTTTTTTGTTTTTTGCTTCGGGTTTTAGTGTTTAAATTTATAAGAGTAGTGAAACAAACGTAGAATAGAATAGGGCTCAGGATAAGTAAATAGGAGGAGCCCCTACGGACTGGCATTCGTACCAATTGCTTCAATGTATAAGGGTCGGGATAAGTAGGTTTAGGGCTTAGGGTCTTTCCCAGAGAGACAATATCCCCCGTAACCCTAAACCCTAAGCCCTAAACCAAGATACCTTAAGTTGTAGGGCCCTTCACGTTATGAGTCAAGGCATATTCCCTGATTGCGCGGTAAGGGGCTCCCTGGGTGGTAATACCATGCCCTTAACGTCCTCATGTAGGGGCCTTAATAATTACCTATACTCTTTTTGGGGTTCCTTGTTATAGTTAAAGTATGATGGTCTCCAAAACCCTATTCTGATTATTAAGGCCCCTATACTAATTCAAGACCAACCATGTTCAACATCTTCGGGGTCCAATGTTAGGTGCAGGGTTGAGGGTTCGGGGGGTTGGCTTCAGGGTGTCGGGTGTGATGTTCGGGGTTTAGGGTTCAGAAGTTGGGTGAGACCGGGGCACAAACCCCAAACCCTACCCTAAACCCTAAACCCTAAACCCTAAACCCTAAACCCAAAAGCCCTTGAACATGAGGATCCAGGATGGTACCCAGGGATCCCGACACAGCTAAGTAGGGTCTCGGGATGTTTTCTTGGGAGTTTAGAGGGGTTAACATAGACGTCAGGAAATAGCCTCTCGTTATAGGTGTGGCATACTGTACCCCCGAAACACTATTCTACTTGCCAAGGCGCGTACACCAAACCCTATACAATCCGATAAACGAAACCCTTTAACGAGCCTTTAGAATTACTTAAGAATCTTGCAAGCCCTAAACCCTAAATCCTAAACCCTAAACCCTAAGCCTTAAACCGTATTCTAAAGGGTATCGGATGTTTGAGTTTTTTTTGCGGATTTGGGGCGCTGCAGGCCTTGAAGTCACCACCGCTGGTCGGCTTGGACGCCATGTTCACAGCCCCTCGGCAAAGCTAAGGTCCTTCGGCTTTGAGATTCGGGTTCAGGGCTTAGGGATTAGGGTTCAGCGTTTGGGGTTTAGGGTTTAGGGATTCGGGCGATTAGGGTTTAGGGTTTAGGGCCTAGAGTTTAAGGTCCGGGGGGTTCAGCCGCTCGGTCCGCGAAAGACGTAGCAGCTGTTGTTCATTGCGAGAGGAGAATACCCACCCGCTCATTGGTTCTAGTTTCCTAAACCCCAAACCCTAAACTTTAAACTGAAATGAGGAAACCTAAAGCCGAATCCGCACAATGCCTACGGGGCCCCAAAACCCTTTCCACTAGACTCCAAAAATCCCTCAACCCCAATCCCCGCACCCTAAACCCCAGTCCCTAAACCCAAACCCTCAAGAAGGAAGGAAATAGAAAGTGTGTGTCAATTCAGCCCCCGCCTCGCCCCAGCCTAGCCGCAATCCCAGCCCCAGCCCCAACCGGCCCAGCCCGACACTCGAAATCAGGTTCCAAAAAAAGAGCCTGCTCGAAACATTTCGGTCAAAACTTTCGCTCAAAACTTATACGCACCCAAACCATCAACACTTTCTACCAACCCTAAACCCTAAACCCTAAACCCTAAACCCTAAACCCTTCCCCGAGGATCCCGCAACCTCCCTGGTAGGGTCTGGAACCCTAAACCCTCTCAACCATTATAGGGGATCCCTTACGGCTTCTGGAGACTGCGGATGCTTCGGATGAGTCCAAGGCCATACCTATGAACCCATCAAAATCCTGCAGACTCTAGTGTTCAGGGGCTATTTGCGATGGCTCTAAGGGCGCTGAAATAGAACCTTGTAAGCCAAAGTCAGTATAAGTCTGCATAAAGCCCGACGAAAGCCTCGGGTAAGTTAGCCCTAAACCCTAAAGCCTAAACCCCAAACCCTAAACCCTAAAACACCAAACCCTAAACCCTGAACCCCTAAACCCTAAACCCCAAACCCTAAAGCCTAAACCCTAAACCCTAAAGCCTAAAACCCCAAACCGTAAACCCTAAACCCCTAAACCCTGAACCTCAAACCCTAAAGCTTAAACCCTAAACCCTAGAGCCTAAAACCCCAAAACGTAAATCCTAAACCCCCAAACCTTAAACCCAAAACCCTAAATCCTAAACCCGCGGTTGATGCGGACCCCAAGAGCTGGGCAGACAGAAGTTTTGGACCGATCTAGTGCAATATGAAAGTCGTATGACAAGCACTCCTATTAGCATGACAGGACGGCATAAATAGAACATGCAGCAAAACATCTTGCTAGGACTACAGGATGAAGAGATCTGCAGACATACCATGGCCGAACCACCATCAAGCAATCACAACATGACTGCAAGCGGGTTCACACACCTCCACGTGGAAGCAGCAGGCGTCACGAGTCCAAAGTTCTGGACACGGGAGGGGAACTTGGCAGCGAACTTGGACTTCATGGTGTGGGCATACCGACGCATTCCCGATGTCGATCACGACCTCGTGGATTTCTGCGCTTCGCCCAAGATAGAGCGCCTTCTTGCGAGCTTCCCACCAAGCTTCGCAGGGTAGCTGGCTACCCAGAGGAAGCAAAACCGCGGAAGCAACGCTCCGCAACCCCTTGTACATCCTATCCTTTCTGCATCCTCTGAATGTGTGCGGTCTTCCAAGCCTTGCAATGTCACATGCGCACTGGTCGGAAGCAAGCGGATCCCCAATCTGAAGCTTAATCCTAGACGACCCACGCTCATCAAAATCTTGCATCCTCGAAGCACGCGACATCACTACATCCATTTACATCCCTTCGCCAGGAGATTGTCGAGTTGCACATGCTCCGATTGATGAGCGACCTCCGGTCATTGGAGGCTGTTCACCGCAGTGGCTTCTTCTGTCGAATGACTGCGGCTTGTAGGCGGCAGCAAGTGGGATCTTTCGCCACATGGCATCCGTTAGAGCCAAGCTAGGTTTCCTGCTCAGACGTGCATCTTCGTGGGAAGACTTGGGCTTTGTGAGTTGCGTTTGATAGACGTTTGTCGCACACGCAAGGTGGCCCCTACCTTCTGTCCAACTGCGGCTACCGCCTCCAACTCCCAGAGTTTTCTTTGGCTGATACCATTCTGGGGGACTTCTTGGTGGCAGTTCCGCCGATTGCTTTCCGATGGCGGGAGAAGAGTAAGAGTGGACAACTGCAGTCAGCGGATTGTCTCGGATGTGACTTGCAGGAGGCGTGCCCAAAGCCAGACATGGACGCGTGTTGCCAGGTGCACAAAGGACGGAAACTGGGTTTGCGCACGGGCTTTGACGCATTGCAAGGCACTCCGTCAGGGCCCGCTTCTTTGCGAGCTTCCCGCCAAGCTTCGCAGGTTATAGCTGCCCACCCAGAGGGCGCAAAACCGCGGAAGCAACGCTCCGGAAGTGATGAGCCCTACACCCTAAACACTTAAAGGGTCGAAACTACAACCCCTTGTACATCCTATCCTTTCTGCATCCTCTGAATGTGTGCGGTCTTCCAAGCCTTGCAATGTCACATGCGCGCTGGTCGGAAGCAAGCGGATCCCCAATCTGAAGCTTAATCCTAGCCGACCCACGCTCATCAAAATCTTGCATCCTCGAAGCACGCGACATCACTACATCCATTTACATCCCTTCGCCAGGAGATTGTCGAGTTGCACATGCTCCGATTGATGAGCGACCTCCGGTCATTGGAGGCTGTTCACCGCAGTGGCTTCTTCTGTCGAATGACTGCGGCTTGTAGGCGGCAGCAAGTGGGATCTTTCGCCACATGGCATCCGTTAGAGCCAAGCTAGGTTTCCTGCTCAGACGTGCATCTTCGTGGGAAGACTTGGGCTTTGTGAGTTGCGTTTGATAGACGTTTGTCGCACACGCAAGGTGGCCCCTGCCTTCTGTCCAACTGCGGCTACCGCCTCCAACTCCCAGAGTTTCCTTTGGCTGATACCATTCTGGGGGACTTCTTGGTGGCAGTTCCGCCGATTGCTTTCCGATGGCGGGAGAAGAGTAAGAGTGGACAACTGCAGTCAGCGGATTGTCTCGGATGTGACTTGCAGGAGGCATGCCCAAAGCCAGACATGGACGCGTGTTGCCAGGTGCACAAAGGACGGAAACTGGGTTTGCGCACGGGCTTTGACGCATTGCAAGGCACTCCGTAGGGGCCCGCTTCTTTGCGAACTTCCCGCCAAGCTTCGCAGGTTATAGCTGCCCACCCAGAGGGCGCAAAACCGCGGAAGCAACGCTCCGGAAGTGATGAGCCCTACACCCTAAACACTTACAGGGTCGAAACCACAACCCCTTGCACATCCTATCCTTTCTGCATCCTTTGAATGCATGCGGTCTTCCAAGCCTTGCAATGTCCCATGCGCAGTGGTCGGAAGCAAGCGGATCCCCAATCTGAAGCTTAATCCTAGCCGACCCACGCTCATCAAAATCTTGCATCCTCGAGGCACGCGATATCACTACATCCATTTACATCCCTTCGCCAGGAGATTGTCGAG